ATGTGCCTACTGCAAGGAGAAGGGTCATTGGAAGAAGGATTGCCTTAAATTATAGCAAAAGACTGATAGGAAACCTCCTGTACAACTGATAGGGCTAAATGCAGAAGATATGAAATGAAGGGACCCTAGGTCTCCCCAGAATGTGTGGGAATTACAGCCAGTTATTAATATCTTCCACCAGGAGCCAAGGGTAACCAAGAAAGTGGGAGAAAAATTGATCAATTTCCTGCCAGGCATGGTTGCTCACACCTGTAATCTTAGCACTCTGGGAGCCCGAAGCAAGTGAATTGCCTGAGATCATGAGTTCAAACCACCCTGAGCAAGCGCAAGACCCCATCGCTACTAAAAATGAAAAACTGAGTCAAGAGGATCACTTGAGCCCAAGAGTTGGAGATTGCTGTGAGCTATGGATGCTATAACACTCTATCAAAGATGACAAAGTGAGACTCTGTCTCAAAAAAATAAAAAATTGATTGATTTCCTGATTGAGGGTGGTGCAACTTACTCAATTTTAAACCTTAAACTGGCAGAGCTTACTAGAGACTCAATGTTGGTGACAGGGGTATCTGGGAAACCCTCCCAAAATTATTTCTTCTAGCCACCAGATTGTGCTATTGGAAATTCTTGCCTGAGAGCACTTAGGCAAGAATTGCTGAGTCAAGATCTTCCCTCTTGGGCTCAAAAGATCCTCCCGCCTCAGCCTCCCAAGTAGCTGGGACCACAGGCACCCGCCACAACACCCGGCTATTTTTTGGTTGCAGCCATCATTGTTGTTTGGCGGGTCCAGGCTGGATTCAAATGCACCACCTTAGGTGTATGTGACTGGCGCCTTAGCCACTTAAGCCACAGGTGCTGAGCCTGGCTTTTTTATGTTGATTAATTTGAGTTCTCCAGGCACAAGATTTTTTAAAGTTTTGTTATGTCTTCTCATTTTGCTTTCCCAAATGGCTTGACATTGTCACTGGCACCATATGAGTCTGTTCCACAGCCTCATACGTTTTGGTGATTTTGATGATTTAGAGAATGTAAGATGGCATCACCAGGATCTTTTATGTGCCTTTCTTGGTTCATTTCATATAGAGGGAGTTATGTATTGTCCATATGTTAATGTACCTCCTCATCCAAATTGCATATTTATTTTACTTTGTCTACTTACCTATTAAACTGCTATGTTTTCAAAACCACAAACAAATAAATTGCAGGCTCAAGTGACCTTTCAAAATAAAGACGTGCACATCTCAGTTCCCCCAGAACATGCCTCTGCCTTGCAAGCAGCTCTCCCCAAAGAGCGGCCTGCTGAAGTCCTCAATCAAGTCAACCCTGAGGTATGGGCTACCACTATGATCTCCATACTCTGGTACCCAGTCCATGGCCTATTAAGAACGAGGCCACACGGCAAGTGGTGAGCAGTGGGCAGGCAGGCAACTGAAGCTTTATCTGTATTTACAGCCTCTCCCTTCACTGGCATCACCACCTGAGCTCCACCTCCTGTCAGAGCAGCAGCAGCATTAGATTCTTATAGGAGTACGAACCCGACTGTAAATTGAGCATGCGAGGGATCTAGGCTGAGTGCTCCTTATGAGACTCTAATGCCTAATCTGATGTGGAGCTGAGGCAGTGATGCTAGCACTGGGGAGTGACTACAAATACAGATCACCATTAGCAGAGAGGTTTGGCTGCACAGAGACAATAATAAATAATTGCTCGTAGATTTATATCAAAACTATCTCTTCTACTCCCAGTCCACGGAAAAATTGTCTACAATGAAACCCGTCCCTGATGCCAAAAAGGCTAGAAATCGCTGGTCTGCTGGCCAACCTAGAAGGGTACATGTGGACTCTGCTTATATCAAGGTAAAACCAGGGATTTCTCCCCATCGACTCGAGCAGTACTCATTAAAGCTTCAAGCTAGGAAGAGTCTTTAACCCCTAGTTGTGGCCTTTTTAAAATATGGACTTCTGGTCTTGTCACTCTCCCTATAACACTCCCATTTTGCCAGTTCAAAAACATGGATCTGAGGAATTGTTCAGGATCTGTGAGCAATAAACTTAATAGTGGAAGACATTCATCCAGGGGTACACCACCCTTATATTCTTCTCACTACTATAACAACTTGGCTCGGTTTTCAGTGATAGACCTAAAAGACATCTTCTTTTGCTTTCCCCTTGCTCCTGAATCACAAGAACACTTTGCTTTCGAATGGGAGGGTTTAAGGACTAAAACCAAATGCCAGTGCTGTTGGACTCTGCTTCCCCAGGGATTTAAAACCTCTCTAACCACATTTGGCAAATTCTGCCTAGAGATTTAAGAAAATCAATTTTAGAAGAAGGATTAATTTTACAGTATGTCAGTGACAATTTGAAGTGAGACTGAAGCTGAATCTAGACACGTGCTATAATGAATTTCTTAGCTGACAAAGCGTATAGAGCATTTCAGAAAAATGCCCAGATTTCACCACCCACTGTCAAATACTTGGGATTTGAATTATCTCAGGGGACTTGAAATCTCCCAAACCAGAGGGCAGCTGCAAACCGGGTGGCAGTCCCCACCACTTGAATTGTTCATCCAAGAAAGACAGGTGTTGAACTTGGGGTATTAACCCAAACTTTGGGAGCTCATGAGCAACCTGTGACAAAGGGATGGCCCACTTCTTTGAGTGCAATTGCAGCTACTTGTTATATTTTACAAGAAGCTGAAAAGCTTTCCCTTAGATAGCTAGTAACTCTTCATATTGCACATTATGTTACCCCTATTAGATCAGAAGATGAGCTGGTGGTTAACAGCTGGTCAGTTGGGCAAATATCCTAATGTAATTCTAAAGGCAGTGTCCACCTTAAATCCTGCCACCTTGCTGCCTAAGGACGCTCACTCCCCAGTTCATGCTTGCATTCAAATTCATAGACCAAGGGCCAGGCACGGTGGCTCACGCCTGTAATTCTAGCACTCTGGGAGGCCAAACCTGGAGGACTGCTTCAGCTAAAGAGTTCAAGACTAGTCTGAGCAAGAATGAGACACCATCACTACTAAAAAATAGAAAAATTAGACAGGTATTGTGGCACACACCTGTAGTCCCAGATACTCCGGAGGCTGAGGCAGGAGAATCACTTAAGTCCAAGAATTAGAGGTTGTTATGAGTTATGATGATGATGCCACTGAACTCTACCTGGGATGAGAAAGTGAGATTCTGTTTCAAAAAAATAATTAGTGACCAATTATATCAGCTCTTATCAGACCCAGACGAGGAATTTTTCACAGATAGGAGTAGCTTTAGGAGTAGCTTCATGAAAAACAGACAACGCAAAACTGGGTAAGCTGTGGTTACCAGCCAACAGGATGGGTTGAAACTTATCCACCAGAACTGAATGACCATCAGAAGCCCCTAAAGCCCTTTTAAAGGAAATTATTCCTAGGTTTGGACTTCTATCATGCTCTGATGTCAGAGCAGCTTTTGGCACCAGAATCACGCAAGAAATCTTAAGGATTATATAAATCAGTTGGAGAGGAGTGCATTCATGATGAAGAAACCAATTTTCAGAAAGCTGAATGAAGGAACTTTTAAAAAGACTTTCTCTGAAACTAATCAAAAGACTAGTTTAGCCCCTTTGAAATTTAATGTGGGAGACCATTCCTAAGAACTTCCAGTGAGGGTTCAGCCAATGATTGTCTGCCCCCAGAGATAGAGGGTCACTCAGAAGTAAAACAGCCTGGTAATATGCTAACTAGTTATTTCTGAGTTTGCCTCCAATAGGCTCCAGTTTCTAACAGATGTGCCCTTCATTCCATAAAGCCAGGAGATAAGGTGTTACTGAAAACCCAGAGAAACCAACATCCCCCAAACCAACTATAGCCACAGCAGATTGGCTCATTTGAGATGCTCCTGACAACTCACTCATTAGTTAAACTCACAGGAGCTAGGCCATGGATTCATCACCCTCGGATAAAACACACACCCCTACCAGAGACCCTACCCTCCAGGATTCATCATCCTCTGAGAGACTGGAGAAACAGTGGGCTTTTGAGCCCTTAGAGGACCTAAAGTTACTCTTCCACAAAAAGAGATAAGTAACATGAAGTTATATACCCCATGCATTTTATTTGTTTCTTGGGGTTTTTTGTTTGCCTGGCTAGACAACACCTTAATTAGGATTTCTCAAACTATCACCTTGTCCACTAACCTATCTCTCTACTGGATTTGTCATCCTAAACCCAGGGCACACACCTGTAGTCCCAGATACTCCGGAGAACAATCTGACCCATAGTTGTATATAGTTCACAAATGTACCCTCCTGTCTCTTGGATCGCCTATCATGTACAATTAATAACTCCATACTCAGAGGTCCCACGTTTCTTTCTTACCCACCCCCATACCAAACATCATAGACAAAGTGACAACAAGGAGCTACAATCTTACAAGAACACTTCCCACAGGCCATACAGTTCCCCTAAACTGACCACCTATTGTAAAAACTCGATTGTAGCAGTCTTTTCAGCACTACCCTCTTTAGACTATCTTATTAACAAATGTTTTACCTCTGCCAGAGAAGGACCATGGGACCATTACCTGTACCATAGTGTGCCAGCAGAAATGTATCCCAAAGGCTCGGGAAGGAAAGAATCAACTCTGTTATACAGACCCTTGATTAAAAATTTTAACCCTAATGTTACCTTAAAATGGCTCTATAAACTTTCAAACAGAAGCAGGTGATGTTTGTGTATGTTGGATATATTTTTGTCTATGGAGGCAAGGAAGGATCTCCTTTGGTTTATGATTGCTTAGACAGCTAGACAATGGGGAGAACTTGTTATTAAGACTCCTCACCACTCTCTTCTTGGTCCATGACAGATCTTAACAGAGACTCTATCTGAGGAACTCCAAAACAGTATCTCTAAGAGAAATTCTAGATGGAGAGGACTACTTCTTTGGGTTCCCACTACTACCCTGGCAGGAAATGACAGCTCATCAGTACGTGTCCTGCAACCTTGAGAATTATCGCCAGTGAGTGCTCACTTCAACAGCGCGCATACTGAAATTGGAATGTTACAGAGAAGATTAGAATGGCCCATGTGCAAGGATGACATGCAATTTGTGAAACGTTCCATATTTTTTACCATGGAATACCATTCAGCTGTTAAAAATGATGGAGACTTTACATCTTTTGTATTAACCTAGATTGAGTTGGAACACATTCTTCTTAGTAAAGTATCACAAGAATGGAGAAGCAAGAATCTAATGTACTCAATTCTAATATGAAGGCAGTAGATGAGCTAATACATACCCTCATAAGAGAAAAACTTAAAATAATTCAAGGTGGGGAGGCAGAGGAATGACCGAGTGGGGAGAGGAGAGGAGGGAGGAGGGAAGGTTTGGGAGTCGTGGTGTATGGCACACCTCTTGGGAGGTGGAACACAATTATAAGAGGGACTTTAACTAACAAATGCAATCACTGTGTCCTAACTCTGAACCCTCAATGAATCCCAAACAATAAAAAAAAGAAGAATTATTGCTAGTGAAACTGCAAAAACAAAAATCTTTAGACTCTTTAGTGTGAGTAGTTCTTGATCATTGTGTTACTCTTGACTATATTTTAGCAGAACACAGGGATGTTTGTGATAGCCAATTTATGATGCTGCACTTTTATATCTACTTCTGCAGAAGTGGAAGTACATATTGATAAAATTGGATAACAAGCTTCATGGTTGCAACAGGTTAACAGGAATGAACTATAAATAGGACATTGGTTCTCAAGACAATTTTCTTGGATTTCTTGGGGTGTTCCTTCTATTCTTTTTATTTATTTATTTATTTATTGAGACAGAGTCTTACTATATCTCCCTCAGTAGAGTGCTGTGGTGTCACAGCTCATGGCAACCTCCAACTCTTGCCCTTAAGCGATTCTCTTGCCTCAGCCTCCCAAGTAGCTAGGACTACAGGCGCCAGCCACAATGCCTGGCTATTTTCTTGTTGCAGTTGTCATTGTTGGTTAGCTGGCCTGGGCCAAGCTCCAACCCACTTGCCTAGGTGTATGTGGCAAATGCCCTAACCACTGAGCTACAGGCACCAAGCAGGTTCTATTCTTTCTGATATCTTGAAATTTAGCTTTTTCCTTTTACTACATATTCTCTTGATTTACTTCATGACAAACATGTTAATTTAATGTGGACTAAAACTGTTGTTCAAAAATAATAGACAGGGTGGCGCCCGTAGCTCAGTCGGCAGGGTGCTGGCCACATACACCAAGGCTGGTTCAAACCCGGCCTGGGTGAACTAAAGCAACAATGACAACTACAACAACAACAAAAATAGCTGGGCATTGTGGCGGGCACCTGTAGTCCCAGCTACTTGGGAGGCTAAGGCAAGAGAATTGCTTAAGCCCAGTAGTTGGAGGTTGCTTTGAGCTGTGACGCCACAGAGGCACTCTACCAAGAGTGACATAGTGACCCTCTGTCTCAAAAAAATAAAAAAGAAATGTTACTACATATGAATATATTTGTTTCTTCTAAGTATATATCTGTTTTTAATGATTATTTCCATTTGGTTAGCAGAAAAAATAAAAACAGTCAATTGTGTGTGTAGTACTGGAAAAAATATTCACTATTCCCAGAACAGGAAGCATCAATCAGTACATGTGGTTACACATGATAACCAGGTAGAAGAGGGGTCCAAACAGCTAACCCACACTGTATATACACTCCATGTGACCAAGGAGAAAGGGAGTCCTTAGCTGCTGAGTTAGCAAAATGTCCTGATGAGAAGTGCCATGTTTTAGCACAGGGCTTCTCTCCCAGGACATAAACGCACTAGGGACTCCCTTAATCATAAGAAGACATTGACAGTACGTGCATATGTTTTTAATAATACTAACAAAGCAAGTCAATAATCTTATAACAGCAGAACAAGGGATTCCATAACTCTGGCCAAGTGAAAATAAAGGAGTACATCATTTCAGGAGAGAAATGTTGCAGAAACAAAAGCTTACGTGGACGATGCAAACTTTAAAATACATATTGAGGCAGCAAGAGAAGTTTTACTGGACAATTGGAAGAAAAGACAAGCTTGGAAGCTTTTCTTTACTTGGAAGAAACGACAAGCTTCAGGTTCCAACCATGCTGCAGAAGCCTGGTTCTACAGATGGGGTGAATCTAAGGATTGAGGATATTAAACAATATTCTTTTGAGGGCAAGAAGGGATCTGAAAAGATTTCAGTAACACTGGCTCAGTGCTCATAGCTCAGGTGGCTAGGGTGCCAGACACATACACCAGCGGTGGCGGGTTCAAGCCCACCCTGGGCCTGCTAAACAGCAATGACAACTACAGCCAAAAAATAGCTGGGCATTGAGGTGGGCACCTGTAGTCCCAGATGCTTGGGAGGCTGAGGCAGGAAAATCACTTAAGCTCAAAGAGTTTGAGGTTGCTGTGAGCTCTGATACTTACAGCACTCTACGGAGGGTGACATAGCGAGACTCTGTCTCAAAAAAAAAAAGAAAGAAAGACTTCAGTGACACAAGTAAACATCAGAAGAAATACTTTAAAGGCTGGGTGTGGTGGCTCACACCTATAATCCTAGCACTCTGAGAGGCTGAGGTGGATGGATTGTCCAAACTCAGGAGTTGGAGACCAGCCTGAGCGTGAGCAAGAAACTCCGTTTCTAAAAATAGCCAGGCTTTGTGGCAGGTGCCTGTAGTCCCAGCTGCTCAGGAGGCTGAGACAAGAGGATCACGTGAGCCCAAAAGTTTGAGGTTGCTGAGAGCTATGATACTACACAGCACTCTACCCAGGTGACAGTGAGACTCTTTCTCAAAAAAGAAAAAAGAAATATTTTAGGATTCTTAAGAAAATATTTTTTCCCTAAGGAAAAGCAAAAGCAAGTAAAAAAATGAAGTAATAAATTAAATCCATGGTGTTGGTGTTTTAACACACTCACAGATTGAAAGGTAGTTATAGTATGTCCTATAATCATTGTATTTGTTTTTAGTTTGTGTGCTGTTTAAAGTGTAAATGATTCCAGAAACTCATATTCAATTTGTAATTACAGTTTATTGAAGGAAACTTAATGAAGCTTATAGTCATGTTTAAACATTTAAGAAAACATCATGTTTCAAACTTCTGTTTATAGAGACTATGTATATATTTAATAAATTGAATCAACTATTAAATAAAATAGGAATATTTGTGGGGTGTTCTTTCCATAGACAAAAATATCACCAAACATAAGAACTCTGTCAAGTATGAGCATAAACTCTGTCAACAGAAAACATTGATAGATCCCCAGCAAAGTACACACCAAGGTATCGGCAATGATTATCTCTAGAAAGTGGGAAGAAGGTAGGGAAGAAAAGTCAATTTTTTTCTGTATACTTTGGAATTTAAAAAAAATTTTGGCTAAGCATGAGTTATTTTTGTAATCTCAAAAATTTATTCTTGAGGGCGGCACCTGTGGTTCAGTGGGTAGGGCACCTACCCCATATACCAAGAGTGGTGGCTTCAAACCTGGCCCTGGCCAAACTGCAACAAAAAATAGCCAGGCATTGTGGCAAGCACCTGTAGTCTCAGCTACTCGGGAGGCTGAGGCAGGAGAATCACCTAAGCCCGGGAGTTGGAAGTTGCTATGAGCTGTGACGCCACGGCACTCTACCAAGGGCAATAATGTGAGACTCTGTCTCTAAAAAAAGAAAAAAAAATACTTATTCTTGAATAAAATACAAAACTATCAATGCTATTACAAAAAGATTAACTATAGTTAAGTGCAGTTATGTGGAAAGCCCCAAAACTCACATTCAAGTTTTCTTTTATAAATGCAATTCAGAAAAATTAAAGTGTAGTAGATAAAATTCATTATCCATAAACCCAATAATTTTCTTACAGATTAAATATGTATTGGACATAAAGCAGGCAGGGAAAAAAATGTAAAAATAAATAAATAAAAAGTGTGACTGAAGACTTAGGAAGATAGGCTCGGCCCCTGTGGCTCAAGCAGCTAAGGCGCCAGCCCCATACACCTAAGGTGGCGGGTTCGAATCCAGCCCGGGCCCACCAAACAACAATAATGGCTGCAACCAAAAAATAGCCGGGCGTTGCGGCGGGCGCCTGTGGTCTCAGCTACTTGGGAGGCTGAGGCAGGAGACTCGCTTGAGCCCAGGAGTTGGAGGTTGCTGTGAGCAGTGAAGCCATAGCACTCTACCCAGGGGCTCAGCTTGAGGCTCTGTCTCAAGAAAAAAAAAAGACTTAGGAAGATATCCAAAAGTCATTCACAGTAACCTGTGGTAGACTCAGTGAGGTTAGGTTATTATGTAGTTGTGATCTTGAGCAGTAAAACTCAGACCATTTCCTTCCCTTTTGAATAGGAATATCTATAGTGGTTATCCTATGTCTGGTCCATCATTGTATGCTGGGGATCTGGGGGCAAATGACTTTAGCTTTGGTTATAGGTTTACAGTTTAGAAGAAAAGGAATTGTAAACTAAATATACTTGGAAAATATCATCCATACCTGGACCTGATTTAGATGATGCAATTCTAAATTTTGAGCTGATGCCATAAGGGGATTAGATTTGGGAGGTGCCTTGAAAGGAGATAAGCATATTTTGCATGGGGGAGGAACATGAATTACTAGAGTCTTACAGGGTACACTGGTGGTAGCCAGTCTTTTTTTTTGAGACAGAGTCTCACTTTGTCACCCTCATAGAGTGCTGTGGCATCACAGTTCACAGCAACCTCAAACTTTTGGGCTCAAGTGATTCTCTTGCCTCAGCCTCCCAAGTAGCTGGGACTACAGGCATCTGCCACAACACCTGGCTATTTTTAAAGACAGGGTCTCTCTTTTGCTCAGGCTGGTCTTGAACTCATGAGCTCAAGAAATCCACCCACCTTGGCCTCCCAGATTCTTAGGACTATAGGCATGAGCCATCATGCCCAGCCCAGTAGCCAGTCTTTAAAATGTCCCCACAATGGGCTCAGCGCCCATAGTACAGTGGTTACGGTGCCAGCCACATACACCAGAGCTGTAGAGTTTGCACCCAGCTTGGGTCTGCCAAACAACAATGACAATTACAACCAAAAAATAGCCAAGCCTTGTGGTGGGGGGCCTGTAGTCCCAATTACTTGGGAGG